CATTCACGCGCACACACACACACACACACAAAATGTATGTATATATGTATGTATCATATGTAAACATGTATCATGTATAAATGAATGTATGTATGTATATACTTATAAATATATATGTACACATATACATGTATGTGTGTGTGTGTGTATTAGATGACAGGTATTCTCCCATATGGCCTTGATTTATTTACAATAGCTTATACATAATCCCTCTTACCCAGAGAAAAGGCTGTCCCACAGTAAATAAAACTCTACCATACTAAGTTTTCTTTTCAATTTTTGCAACACATGCAAAATCCCTTTATATATGTTTTTGAAAAATATAGCAAGTTTCCCTTCACTCAAAATTGATTTTCTCAAAGCACATATTCATATCAATTAATGATAATAACAAAATACAATATGGTGATGATAGCGATAATGATAATAATAATGATGATAATCACAAAAAAGTAGCATTAATAACAATATTAACCAAAAAAATCATAATAATAAGTGAATGAATTAAATAAAAAAAGAAAATAACATTAACAAGGTTGTTTAGTAATTATAATAATAATAATAATAAAAATAATAATATTGACAACAACAATAATGATGATAATAATAATAAAAGTAGTAATAATAATAATAATAATAATAATAATAATAATAATAATAATAATAAATAAATAAAAATATCAACTAATAATAATAATAATAATAAATAAAAATAATAACTAATAATAATAATCACCATCATAATAATATAAATAACAACAATAATATTAATATCAACAATAATAATGATACTAATAACAGTAATCAGTAATAATTGATAATATAATGATAATAATAATAATAATAATAAAAATAATTAGTCTATTATGATTATCACCATCACTATAATAATTATAAAGATAATCATAATAACAATGATAATTATTGCAATAATAATAATAATGAAAATAGTAATGATAATAATGGTAAGAATTGGTAATAACAATAGTAATAATGATAAAAAAAAAATATATAAAATATTATAATAGTAATTGTAAAAAACAAAAACAAAAACAAACAAACTAATAATGATAATAATGACAATAATAAGAACAACAACAACAACAATAATAATAATAATAATAGTCACTATAGCAATAACAAGAATGATTGTAATAATAATAACAAAATAGATAAAACATGCAATATCTTCAAACCTCTGCAGACCTATTCCTCCGTTTAAGAACACGGAATTCTCCAAAGTCGAATATAATCACAGACAATTAATATTTCACAATTTCAATCGCTGCAAAATGAAACACCATGATCACGTCACAACATAAGACCTGTGCCTCTTAACTTTCTTTGTACCTCTTGAAGAAGCACCATCTTTTCAAATAACTGTATGTGTGTGTGTGTTTTGTGGCAATTACTTGCTTAATTATATGCATGAAGTATGAGTCATTTCAATGATATCAGTAAACTCAAGTAATGACGTAAAAAAAGAGAATCATAATAAATATGAATATTCAGATAGATGTTATTTGCGTAAATATCTGGAATATGAGTGTGTGCAGGTTCCTTACTTACAAACATTCATTCATACAGGGGGTTATCTGTAACAATAATAATTTACAAGTTATATGTTGAATTTAAAAATATTTAGCATAAAAATTAAGTATTGTAAAATGAATATACATGTTATATAAACATGGAGATTAATAGATAGACTGCTTGTTATTAAAAGTGTGAAGCTAGCCAAATATAAATAAATAAATTAACTAATTTAATAACTGGTAACAATAATAATAATTACTTTGAAAAACACCAACAAAATCATGTATTAAACTCAACATCAAAACAAATAAATGGGTATTGGAATATGTGTACTTAAAAATAAATGGAGAAGTTAACAAAAGAAAGAAAGGAAGAAGGAAAAAATGAAAGATTGAAAGAAAAAGAAAGAAAGAAGAAAGAAAATAACCAATAGACATAAACGAAAACTCTAGCCTGATTTGGAGGAGCAACTGAGACTGGCTAAAAGGGATTGTAAATTTTATTGACTGAAGAAGCTGTCATTAAGTCATGGTGTACAAGAGGTCCTTCTGAGCAGCCAGGCATATAATGCTCCTATAACAAATTCCATGTCTGATTTACAGCCTGTGATATTCACTTCAATAAAAATGACCCTGTAGACCATAAAAAAATAATATATATGTGTGTATGTATGTATATGTATATATATATATACATATGTATATATATATATATATATATATATATATATATATATATATATATATATATATATATATATATATATATATATATATATATATATATATATATATATATATATGTATGTATATATATGTATGTATATATATGTATATATATATGTATATATATATGCATATATATATGCATATATATATATATATATATATATATATATATATATATATATATATATATATATATATATATATATATATATATATATATATATATATGTATATATGTGTATATATATGTATATATGTATATGTATATCTATATATATATATTATATATTATATATTATATATTATATATTATATATTATATATATATATATATATATATATATATATATATATATATATATATATATATATATATATATATATATATATATATATATATATATATATATAAACATATATATGTTTGCTTGCCACATAAAATCCTATGTATATTACCATATATCTGTGCTTGCTTTTAACTCCCTTACTGTCAGTCACACTGAAATAAATTAATACCAAAATTGGATACACAGCACATTCCTAGTGAAACTGACAGGCAAAATGATAGAACGTGGGTAAGCATAGCAACCTTACAGACATTACTGTGACAACTGTCCAAACGTAACAGACATTGTGAAGTCGTAAGGAAAGAAATCTCACTATATTTTCTCCGTGATCTATATAACTTAAAAAAAAAAATCTCCTTCTCAGCTGGAAGGAATGGAGAGCACAGTTGTGAAGATGAAGACAAAAATTACATAAACTGAGTTTGGTGTGAGGAATAAAAGATTAGGTCGAGGGAGGAGGGACCAGGTCAAGGGACTGGTATGTGTGAGTTATGGTATAAACAAAATTGAAATAGGATCAACAGTCATTGGAGGTCGACTTATCAATACTTAGTATAAAAACAAAACAATAAATAAAAGCAATTGTAAAAGATGATCTGTCTTTTTTCTCTTAAAATGATAAAAAAAGCACTCTGAATTCATTGAGCACTAAGCACAATTACACTCATGGCAGTGTTCTGAGTATCTGAGTGAAAATAAATTCACCAATCTTGCACCTTTTCATTCTACATGTGAGGACCAACTGAATTATCTATACAAGATTCACAACATATATATCAAGACCAATAAATACAGCATAAATGTGTGTATGTGTAAGAATACGTGATTGTAAGGTGAGTAAGTAACTGAGTAAATAGCATATGCATACACACACACATATATCCAACATTCACTCATTCCCCAATTTCATATTACATTCAAAATGAGATTTATAGGAACTTCATCTCATGCTCAGAAACCATCTGAATAACAAAACCAAGAAAATCAGGGGTAGATAAAATCACTCACACACACAAACACATACATACACACACCAGACCTATTCCTTTGGACAATCAATGTTTCTCCCTAATTATTTCATTTAACAATAAATAATGCTTCATACAAAGGAAGTGCTCTTTACTAAATTTACTTAGACCCTAGGACTTGGCTGACTCTTGAGTATCATCAGTCTACTATTCCCTGTGACAAAGAGATAATATCGTCTCCTCACCATACTTCAGGCTTGGAACTGGAGTGACATCACATTCTTGTTACTGTTATAACTATTATGATCATATAAAAAGGCAAGACATTAATGTATTATTGCCCAAGATCTGAGTAAAACTGCCCTATCTCTTGCTTGAAATTGGGGTAACATTGTCCAACACATTGAAGAAAGAAATTGAACTGCCAGAACATATTTCATGCCTGAGATTTGAGTAAAACCACACCATTTCTTGCTTGATTGTAAGAATAACAACCTAGTTTTGCCAATATCAGAGTAAAACCCACTCATTTTCTTCCTAAAATTAGAGTGACATCACCTTGATCTTTGGGGAGAAAAAAAAAAAAGAGAAAAGAAAAAGAAAAAAGGAATGTCATCTCATTTCCTACCTGAAATTTTAGTTAACCCACTCTATATTTCTTGTCTGAAATTAAAGTATTGCCCTGGTTAATGTCATACTAAAGTTCAACAGGAAATTGACTTAGACAGCTGGGACATGCAGCGATAATTTCATATTCAATTGTACCTGAGTATGTACAAGCATTTGTAAGAGTATAGGTGCTTGTGTTTTTTCTGCAAAAGAGGGAGATCGGGTATATGTATATGCATGTATGTGTCTGTTTGTGTGCATAAATAAATACAATGATATTTACAAATATATATACCTGCATGTACACACACAAATCATGGACTAAAACAGCACAGAAGTTCTAAAAAAGTATATAAAATCAGTTGCTCTCTCTTTCACCCGTTCTCTCTCTCTCTCTCTCTCTCTCTCTTTCTTGCTCAGTTCAGCTACTTAGTCATGACTTTCACTTTTTCTCTCTCCCTCTCTTTTATCTTCTCTTTCCCCATCTCTGTTGCAGTCTCTATATCTATTTCTCTCACTCTTTCTTACTGCTTAGGACACCAGAAAAATAAATGAATTTACACCCAAGCATGACTCTTTTTCAGACAAAAGTAATATAACAAGTTAGTGAGAAAAATAAAAAGAATTATCATCTTGCTTTTCAGGATCAAAACAAGAGAGAAAAAAAAAACTAGACAAAAAAAATATTGGGGAGGAATGGATTGGGGGAGGGGGAGGGGGGGTGAAGGGGTGAGGGAGTAGAAGGAATAATAATCTTATAAAATAATTAACAAGACTTTATAAATACTTGTTTGATGATTATGATACAGGTG